GTATAGGAGAAATACATCGTATAGGGAGTGAAGAGAAGCGCGCATATAAATAATTATTGTCACTTTCAATTTAGTTCTCTCCAGTCTGAAACAGCAAACATCTTATCTCCAATTTCAAAATCTATTTGACATACCAATAAAGAAGTCAACTATGATAAAGGAAAATAACAAGACGTAATAAACATACCTGATCACTTACTGAGAACTAAAACATCATTTGCTTCATCTTGCATTAATTTGGTCAATAGTCTTTCTGGCACTCTTCACAATGTTCTTGTTAAGTTATTTCGAAGACTTCTTTCCTGCGAAAATCTTTTGACCTGAGAAGAATGTTGTTCATCCTCAAGGAAAAAGAGAAATTAATTAGGTCAAATATTATCACGGATTTGCTACCCTTTAGTTATAGTCTCCCAAATGTGACAAAAGTTGTCTAAGTCCATATATTTAGTGCTAGATGTGCACCTCCTGCCTCGACAAGGTATTTCAGCCTCAACCTAGTACTAGTACCGAGTGTGCTCATCACCTCGATGGTGAGATTATCAGCCTCGACCAAACAAGTTCTCTAAGCAATATAGAGCAATAAAAGACAACAAATTGCAATACTTCCATCATAGGTAACAGTGCTTGTGCAGCCAGCGTTCTTCCTTTTCTCCTGCGACACGTCTCCATTGTTCCGGATTCTATTCAGAATTATTCTGTACTTGCAGTGTACTTCAGAGCTGTCACTCCAAACTCTTAACGCGACATTTTCGTCTGACCGCGCGTTGACCACATCAATTTGACCGCGTTTCTACATCAAGATCATTCTACCATAACACAGATCGTTTATTCAATATTTTTCATTGGCTTATTTAATTATTAGTCGTAGAAGTAAAATACGTACGTGCTGTTGCTGCTATTAAAAACACGTCTACTGCCGTTTGTTTTATCAATTTAAAAACGAAGTCTTGTGCATTAATATGTTTGAATAATAAAATCTACTGTTGCAAGAAAGAACGAGCTACTTGCAGCATTGCATCGCATCGCCGTATTTAATTCAACAATTTGTTATTATAAACGACGTGCGCACACATCTGAAGCGTTTCAACAAAGGTTTCAACAAAATTGTCAACTATCAGCCACTTTATAAACTACTTTTTCTTCCGAATAATTCGAGACTCATGCTATTGCTTTAATTTCCGTAACTGGCTTATCTTGGTCTTTTAATCAATAGAGATTTTTATTTAGCAACAACAAGGCACAAAAGTAGAACTATTATTAGAACAACAATTATTAGTACAGTCAAACCCCCGATATAGTAAAGTCGATGGGGGCGGTACGATATCGCGACCGGCCAGTCTTAGTAAATAACTCGGACGTTATTCTACTACAATTTAATTGTGCTGAACGATTATATAAAATGTACTGGCACCAAGTCGTTTAACGTAGCAAGTGTCATGCCGTTCAATTCTGTCGTAATCTCTTGATTCGGTCAAGGTTTCATAATTTGTTGAAGCCATTCAAAAAACGAAAAACAAAAGGAAACAAAAAGAAACAAAAAGGCTAAAAAGAAGCGTAACATTGACTGAAACCCGCACTACAGTCCCCGGCAAAAATAATGGCGGAGCAAGACAAAAACGGACATAATAATTACGCAAAAAACTTTATTTTCCACATGCTTGTAAGTAGGAGTCTGAATGTGGAAAAGACTACAATAGAACACATTTTTATTGTTAAGTTATTAAAATATAAACGCTGTTATTTAAATAACTGATATCACTAAGTTTATCTTTAATAATTGGATAAAATTTTTAATAATTTCATAACTTAACGTATAGTGAGCCGATCGAACAAAAAAAAAACTACCCGGAATGACTGCCGCATAAAGGTCGGTTAATAAAAATAGAATTATTAAAATCGAATCACTGGTTGCTGAGAAAACAAATATTGAAGCATCCTAATATTTTAACTGGTCGTAAATTGGATGCTATGAAATTTTTATAAATTTTGATTTACCGGTGATTATACCGCACTGACATATACAATAATCGCATTTTTAGTAATATTAGAAAAATGAATATTATACCATATGTTGAGTAATGACAAACAAAATTTCTCCGCCATTACTTTTGACCGCGACTGTATTTTTTGATTCAACGCTCACTCACTAAGTTGATTGGTCATGCGATACCGGTCATTGAATTATTGCAGACTAATTTTTGTAACACACTAAATATATTACACCAATACTCGAAGTATTCTTTCTATTTGGTTTAATATCCTTGCACTTTACAATTATTTTACCAACATGTATACTGTTAGGCGAGCCGAACACAATTGCTAACTTTAGAACAGGAATGCGTTACCAATTTTTGCGACGTCTCCCACATTTCTGCGACAGCTAAAAAAATATAAACAGTTCATATCCAATTATCAAGACAACATGCTTTGATTGTTGCGTGTTTGATAATTAAAAATATTATTCACAAATTCTAATAAACGGGTTCCTTTGATTCTTTTATTCTATGATAAACTGTCGGTTAATACATAACTAATTATTGATAACGATATTAGTTTAGATAGATAAGTGGAAAATTCCGACTAGTTGAAAACCCAGATCAAAATCTGTTTTGTTTAAATTAATAAATAAAATTTTCCCTTTAATTCTGCGATAAAATAATTGTCATACCTGATTTGAATATGAGAGTACGAAAGTAAATTTTATAGAAAGTAGAAGCAAATCAAATAAGAATAATTGCTTATAAGTATAAGCTTAACATCCGGTCTTAATTTGAATAGTTATTATATGTGTTAGTTAAGTTAGATAGATTTCTTTGTCGACCGAACACGATAGATTTAATTATTCAAATAAATTGCTGTCCACTGCAATAATGGCAAATTGGTATTGTTTTTTTTAAATTTCAGTCCATAATACTTTGACAAAATACACAGTCACTCTCGATATAATGATCCCCCGATAAGATGAAGTGGCCTAATATGATGCTTTTTCCCAGAACCAAAA